CACATTGAACCTTTTTGCTCACCAAGCCAAATGATTGAGATCATATGCCCATTTGTGAGACTTCACCTTGTGTGTGTGTGTGTGAATGAATGTGAGAGTTGGTTGAAGTAACTTGTTGATTGAAAAGTGTTGCATCTTGTTTAAAGACATAAGAGTACCAAGATAGGCCTAGAGAAGCTAGAGTACAATAAGAGAGTGTATTCATGCTATTTGCTATGTTTCCCTTAGGATGTTAAGTTGAGTACTAAGAAGTGTTTCTTTTGGTTATGAGTTCCCACCTTCAAACCTCTTCTCTAACAAGTTCTTGAATTGTTCACTTGAGGACAAGTAAAGAACAAGTTTGGGGGAGTTGATATCTTGTGATTTTCATTGAATTAACTAACTATTTCTTATGCATATTAGAGTTTAGGATTGCATAAAAGCATTTTTAGGTTGCATATCCATTTGCATTTGTTTACATTAGGTGATGGAGTACCTCAAGAAGCTTTTAAGGGAGTTTGGAGTAGTTTTGGTTCAAGAAAGGCTGAAATGATCAACATGCGAGTTTCAAGTGTCACAGCGAGGTCTGAGCGCGGGGTTAGGTGGTCGCTCCATCTTGAGCGAGCTTCAGCGCGGGGTCTCACCCGACCTTTAGACCCCGCTCTAGACAGAACATACCCGAAGAAGAGTTGTGCATCAAGTGTCACCGCGGGGTCACACAGCGACCAAGGGGGGGTCGCTCCAAGTCGAGCGTGCGCCAGCGCGGGGTCTCACCCGACCTTTAGACCCCGCTCTGGACAGGACATCCGGAGAATATATTGGAAGTGTTGGAGCGAGGTCTCATCGCGACCATGAGGGGTCGCTCCAGTTCAAGCGGGCACCAGCGCGGGGTCTCACCCGACCTTTGACCCCCGCTCCAGCACTATTCATACGTCGAGTTTATGTTTTATTTTGGGCCTAATTAACCTGTGAGTTAAGCCCATTAGCGTTTTTAAGTACCATATAAATACCTTTAAGCATGTTTTTAGGGATCTGATCTTGTTTTTCTCTCCTAAACACTTGATACTTTGGTGAAAGTTTATTCCTTTGATCTAAGTTTCATCTTTTATCTTGTGTTCTTGAGATTATTTAAGTGTTTCTTTGATTTCTAATCATGATTTACCTTAAATCCTTCATAGGTTTAAGTGTGATCATGGTTATTAGTGAGTAGACATCTTTGGATTCATGGGTTAGGGAGATCAAAGGGGGATTAAGCTAGATCTGGGGTGTTTGAGTATAGATCCATCTATTTCCTTGCTTGTTGGGTGATTTTAATGCTATTTTAGAGTTGGCCTCTCTAGAATTGATCTTTAGGTATTTCAAGCCCACAAGGTGTTTGATGAAATACCTGAACCAACTCTTCATTGCTTCTAACATTCTTTACCAAAGAGATTTGATGTTAAAGTTGTTTGGATTGTTAATAGACTAGGTCTTAATGATTGTTTAGATAACATTCAACCTAAGAGATTAGATGTTTGAGTTATCTTTGCAAATGAACATTTGTCTAGGGATAGAACTTGTTTAGGAATGTGTCTAGGCCTAAGGATAATAGATTGAATGAAAAGCTAACACCTTTAGATTGAACTTAATTCCCCAAGATCAGTTCCCTTATCCCATGAGTTCTACCTTCTCATTTAGAAAGAAAACTTGATCTTTATTGCTTATTTAGTATTCTCTTACTTTAAAAACCATCTTTATATTGATAGCACTTAGATTAAGCTTTGTCTTGTAGTCCCATTGGTTTATAATTGCTTAGATTTGGTTCGATATCTTTTATACTATGACATTTGAATAGGAATCTAAAAACTCCTATCATCAAGAACAGACGGGAATCGGAGCCGGAGAGAACACGAGGGGAGTTGGATTTTTTGATTTAGCGATTTTGACCCCTTTTGACTATACATATGTATACCGATTTTGTATGGGTATTAGTATATGTATTTTTACCTTTTTAATTAGTATTTGTATTTTTTCTATTAATTCTATTTAAAAATTTAAAAAATTTATATACTAAGGGCTAAATTGGATTTTCACTAAAATTTGTTCTAAAGGGACATAAATCATGAATTTTATTCTATGGGGACAAATGTTGTGTTTTTTTGTCCCCTTTTGCCAAATTTCCCTAAAAAAAATTACTATTTAACATGAATGGAACAAAATGATCATTCTATCAATTCCACAATATATTAAATAAAATACAAAGTAAAATATTTCATAATTTTTTTTGTTACGGAGTAAATGTAATGAACCTATTTCATTTTTCTATAATATTTCACTCATGTGATTTCATTACTTTTTATTTTATTTATTCCTTTTTTAAATGTATCAGTTACAAAATCAAGTTAGTTGCTTGTTAGTCACGAAATAAGTATATGTATTCAAGAAATCACAGTTTTTAAGCAAGTGATTCCCTAGCCATCACAACGAACCCATCTTGTCACACAACGAACACTTCCTTCAAAGTTGGTAGCGTAACTGTTCAAACCTCACTATAGCAAATCAACCCTCAGGAATTTCTTGGAATGGCCCACTCTAACTTAACTCCACGTTCTCCACAGTTCGTCCCTCTCGTAACAACCCACGAAGAGAATCCTATGCATCCGTATTAACCAAACAAGCAAAATATTTGGATAGGAAGAACATGTTATGCTCCTTCTGATACAACTTTGTAACATATAGTGAAGACATACTAACGCCTCTAGTAACACATAGTTAAGATATATTGGTTTTTGCTTTGTCAACTAAATAGAGCGGAGAGTTTGAAAACTTTAGAAAAACAAAATACACATCTCATCATGCATAGTCTTGAGGAATACAACACTTGACATAAAATGGATTGATATTTTAAGCTACAAGGAGCACATAGACAGAGGATGGAATTTACAGCACACAGATAAAACGGATGATATTTTGAGCTACAAGGAGCACAGAGAGAAAGAGAGAGGCATGTGTTAGATTCTTCTAAGATTTTCACTCACTCAGTTCATGAGTGGCTCTCACCTTCCTCTAGCTGCTTCCTAAGATGTCTCTGTATGTGTCCTTGACCTTCTGAAACAGAACCTCCCTGAAACACATACCACAGAAGAAAATAAATGAGTTTCATTTTTCTCAAAGAAAACACTAGACAAGAGGTTATAGAGGGGATATTGCTTGACCTGTCTGGTTTGAAGATCAGGTTCTTGTAAGCGAACCACTGTGTAAAAAAAAAACAACAAACGAATGTAAACCACACGGTTAAGGTTCATCACATAAAAATGGGATTCAAGATCAGTCATGAGAAGGAGCAATCCATTTGTTAAAAAAAAAAAACAGATCTTAGTAAGGAAAACACTAACTTGCATGAGTTTTTCTGTAGGATACAGAGGACTAATCCTAAATTGACTCTAAATCCTCAAAAAAAAAAAAAAAAAAAAAATTGGTAAAAAATNAAAAAAAAAACCACATCTAAGTAAGAAAAAAAAAAAATAAAAAGAGTTTGTCTGTAGAAAAAAAAGGACAAATCCTAAATTGACTCTAAGTCCTCAAAAAAAAAAAAAAAAAAAAAATTGGTAAAAAATGTGGAAATGGGTCAAATAGGAAGACTCACCCCAGTGTAACCAATGCCTACAAGTTCAAAAACACCAGGAAACAATGGAAGCCTGTCGATTGCCTGTTTCACCACAAATATTAAGAATCAAACAAAAGGAACATAAAAGAGTTTTGAAGATGGAGGGTGAGTAACCGAGATGAGGCCAGTAGATCCCCAAAGAGCCACCAAAGCAGCGAATGCGAGAGAACCAATTGCATACTTGTCCTCAACTTTTTCCCACTGTCAATAATTTACAAAAAAAAAAAAAAAAAATCTAATTCAGACAAATACCCAGAAACAAAGAAGCAGAAAGCAAAAGACTTAACAGCTTCTTGGGCCGTCTTGACGATTTCCGGTAACTCTGTAGACTCAGCATCAGCAGTGACCGGAGCTTCAAATTCAGTAGCTCTCGTCAGAACCTTCCGACCTATAAAAGACAAAAAAAAAAAAAACCATTTTGAAAGTTGGCATCTTAAAAAACTGGGAATCGAATATATTTAATTTTAAGTTCTGCAATCACAAGAGAGTAAAACGGACAGTAAGCAGTGGTTTTGACGGCGCGGTTACGAGAATGAAGCAGCGGAAGGGAGATACATGAGGGAGAAGAGGCGGAGGCTTGTCGAGGAGGAGCTCTAGAGTCGATGATTGTCGAAGAAGAGGAAGAGATTGAAAGGGAAGCCATGGCTCTGGCGCTCGCTTCTAGCAGTAACAGAAAACAACACAACAAATCAGAAGCAGTTTAGTGTTTTATTATCTTTGAGATTAATGGAAAACAAGTAAGTGTCATTTAAACTTCAGAGAGAGATTTGATATATTAATTGGGTTTGTGTTGTGGAGATGATTTCTTTCTCTGCGCGTAGTTGGAGACGATTCCACCCACTCGTTTTGGGTTTCCCGATCAGGTTAGTGCTGACGTGGCGGACTTACAGGCGATCTTGGGAGTTTTTATTGGATAGGATTGGTTATCTTTAAAACCATTTTAGATCTTTTCTTTAAATAATTTGCTTACGAAGAAAACAACATTTCAAACTCATTTGATGACAAGTGAATTGCTAGCTAAGATGCTCTTTTCTTTAAAAAAAAAAGGTTTTTTTATACATGGTTTGATTGCATCCATCAACCCTATCAATAGTATACTTGTGTACGTTAGATGTTATGTAAAAGCAAGTGTGAGTAATTCAACACCCCAAACAAAATACTAATAGGGAAGTAGCTCTTGTGACTACATTTGCAAACAAGATTTGCACTAACCTCCCCCATATTTGTGAATTATGAGGGAGTGATGTTTAAGAGCATCTCCAATGTATTACTCCATATTTTACTTCAAAATGGTGCAACTCCAAAATGGAGTAAGATTTTACTCCAAAAATAATTAATAATTGTTAATAATACTTTATATTTATAAAAGTTTACTAATTAACCCCAACTATTTTATATTTATAGAAATACCTTAAAATATAATTTATTTAAATTAAACATATTATTAAAAAGTACAAGAAATCAGAAAAATAAAATAGAATACAATATAACCTTATTCAATAATGAGCATTAGAATATTTTTCCAACATATGATCAACTAATGCATTTCGTAATGAAAAAAGAGCTTTGGACAATATTTCACCGGTCTTAACGGATACGAAAGAGATTTGTTTAAATCTCTTGTTTTACGTTATTTAATATTATTTATGTTTTAATTATGCTATGTATTTTTTTGTGTTAAATTATTAAATAATGAAATATCCTGTTTTTCATGTTATTGTATTTAAAAAAATATTATTTAAGTAAGAAATAAAACTATTAGAGAGAAAGGATTATTTCATAAATAAAAAAAAATCAACTCCAAAATGGAGTAATGTGTAAGATTACTCCATAAATGGAATAACCCTAGTCATTACTCCATTTTGGAATTGAAAATGGAGTGGGATTGGAGAAGATTTTAATCCAAAATGATGTTTGGAGTAGAAAATGGAGTAGGGTTGGAGATACCCTAAGACCTTTCTAAAATGGTGATTGATCTCTTCCTGATGAATGTAACAAAAGTCAAACTTGATCAGGTGGGGCCCAATATCTGTAGAACACCTTTTAAACAAAAGTCAAAATGTCATGTCCAAAGAAGAACTTTAAATCAACAGTCAAAAATCTGACGAACCGCCTCCGTTATCTCATCTGCTGATCCCAAGTTGCAGTCGTCTTCCATCTGAGAAATACCAAAAATGTTTTTGAAAAGATATGTATTCTGTTTTTGTCATAAAATATCTTTGTGTTATAAGTAGGTTTCAAGTACCTTGAGGTTGAAGGAATAAGAGACAGATGCATTGCAAGGAGATGATGTGATGTTGAGATGAAGAAGAGTGAATCCAAGTTTCTCTAGCAACATGCTTGATCTGAGAAGTTGTCCTTGTTTCCTCTAGCACTAGATCTTGAGACTCACGTGCCTCTCTGTCACTGACACTGTGGCATCTATTTGTTGAGTAATCTTTTGCGCTTCAAGGGATTGCAAGTGTTGCTCGAGGATCTTCACGAAGTCTATAGCTCCTCCTAATATTGACGCTTGGTCTCCCTTTAAGAAAACACAATTAAATTATGTTAAAAGAGTTCAATATAAATGTTTTATAAGTTTTGGTTTGTGCTATATGTACTCTAAGAATGTAGGAAGGCGGTATGAGGAAGCGGAGTGAGTTGAGATGAACATGATAGATTTTCGTTATCTCAAAGATTTAACTCAATGTATTGAATCAATATGAAAAGTGTATACAAATAGTTTGAATCTCTCTCTCACAAATACTCAACAATTGCAAACTCTTATCTGAAGATCTCATCACGATCTTGAACTTAGACTCATGGCGCCTAAGAATTTACAACAATCAAGCATGAGAAGAAAGTGACACTCTCTCTCTCTTTATTTAAACTTCGATCTCGAGCCTCGCTCAACCATCTAACGGCAAACCCTCTGTCACACCCAGAGTATTTGCTTTCCCTCCCTTTGATTTAAACGGCAAACCCTCTGCCACTCCCAGAGTGTTTGCTTCCCCTCCAACGGTCATGACCTTCAGACCTTCTTTCTCATTCCACACGTTCCCTTCATCTCTTAACAACAGCAACTCCTTTTCCTCAACCACTCCACTCGAATTCTTCCTGAAATAAGCCCTCTTATACTTATCAATACTCCCCCCCTTTAAAATCAAGCTTGAAGTCAAGAAACTGCTTCGCAAACTCATCATACAAAAGCCAAGAATTCTCATGAGTAGGACACCCTTTCCACTGTACAAGCAACTCCAAACAGCCCTTTGCATCATACCTCTTAGCAACCACATCCTCTGGCACAATCAAAACATCCAAACTCTCCAAAGATAACGGTTGCACCTTCGCACAAGCCCCCAAAAGAAAGTTTCAACTGAGAAACATGAAACACATGATGGATACGAGAAGACACCGGAAGCTAAAGTTTGTAAGCCGTTTTGCCCACTCGTTCTAGCACCTGAAACGGACCAAAAAACTTCGCAGCTAACTTCTGGCACACTCGTCGAGCCACAGATTGTTGGCGGTATGGTTTAAGCTTCAAGTAAACCATTGCTCCAACATCAAACTCCACATCCCGTCTATGGCCATCAGCCGTACGCTTCATCAATTCCTGAGCGCGCAACAAGTTCAACTTAATCTGATCCAACATCTTATCCCTCTCCCGTAAAGAAGCTTCCAACTCAAAATTCTTTGTAGAACCATCCTCAAAACGCAGCAAAACAGGAGGCTCACAACCATACAACACTGAGAATGGAGAAGCTTTCAAAGAAGAATGAAATGAAGTGTTATATCATAATTCAGCCCATGCCAAAAACTTAAACAAGGTTCGAGGATGTGAAGAAGCAAAGCAGCGCAAATACGTCTCCAAGCACTTATTCAACACCTCAGACTGACCATCATTTTGAGGATGGAAAGCTGTGCTAAACTTCAACTTTGTTCCAGCTAGCCGAAAAGAATCAGTCCAGAATGCACTCAAGAAAATACGGTCACGATCAGAAACAATGCTCTTAGGAAACCCATGTAAACGCACCACTTCAGTAACAAATTTCATAGCTACATCCACCGTAGAGAAAGGATGCTTCAGCCCCATAAAATGTGCATATTTACTCAAACGGTCCACAACCACCAAAATGACATTAAACCCTTGAGACGATGGCAACCATTCAATGAAATCAAGTGTAATGTCCTCCCAAACTCTTGACGGCACATGTAAGGGTTGTAACAAACCAGCTGGTGAAAGGGTTGAATATTTCTGAGTCTGGCAAACCGTACATTCCGAAACATGTTGCTGAACACGTTTAGCAATGCCCTCCCAATAGAAGCTCTGTTGAATCCTTTTAAGCGTCTTCAAAACCCCCGAATCCCCCCCCCCCAACTTACTATCATGATACTCAGTTAAAATCAAAGGCATAAAACGAGATGTTCGTGACAACAGCAAGCGTCGCTTGTACCACACATGACCATCGACCACCTGATAGTTAGAATTAACAATAGAACCATCTAATAGCTTCTGCTTCAAGTTACCAATCTCCACGTCTCTATCCAATTCCTTATAGATATCTTGTACCTGTAATACTGAAGGAATTGTCAAAGCCAACAGGGAAGAACCCACAGAAGACTCCATACTCCGAGACAAGCCATCTGCAGCTTTGTTCTCACACCCTGGTTTAAAAAAAATCTCAAAGTCATAGCCCAACAGACGAGTGAGCCAGCGTTGATACTCCATGTTCACCTCTTTCTGTATAAGTAGATACTTGAGACTGCGTTGGTCAGTATGCACAACAAATTTCCTGCCCAACAAGTAATGCTTCCACTTTTGCACGGCCATTACCACTGCCATTAACTCCCTCTCATAAGCTGGTTTTAACATTTCCCTCGGTGTCAAAGCATGACTATAGAAAGCAATTCGATTCCTATCTTGCATCAGAACTGCTCCCAAACCAAACCCTGAAGCATCAGATTCAATAATGAACTGTTTTGAAAAATCAGGTAAAGCAAGAGTCGGAGTTGAAACCATCGCCAACTTAAGCTTTTCAAATGCTTGATCCGCCTCAGTTGACCAAGAAAACTTATCCTTCTTAAGAAAATGCGTTAATGACCTAGCCAACAATCCATAATTCTTGATAAAATGCCGATAGTACCCTGTAAGACCAAGGAAACCACGAAGCTGCTTAACCGACTTCGGAGTTGGCCATTTCTGCATTGCTTCTGTCTTGGTGACTTCCGTTGCTACACCATCAGCTGAGATCACATGCCCCAAGTACTCAACTTGCCTCATCCCAAGCACGCATTTCTTCTTGTTAGCCAAGAGATGATGTTCTGTAAAAACCCTCATCACTGCTTCCAAATGATGCACATGCTCCTCCACAGATTTACTGAATACCAGCACATCATCGAAAAACACTAGAACAAACTTACGCAAAAAAGGTTTAAAGACTCTATTCATTAAAGCCTAAAACGTGGCTGGCGCGTTAGTCAAGCCAAAAGGCATGACCAGAAACTCATAATGGCCCTCCACGGTTCTGAAAGCTGTCTTTGGAATATCCTTCTCAACCATGCGTATATGATGGTATCCAGAACGTAAATCAAGTTTCGAAAACACCACTGAGCCATGCAATTCATCCAGCAGCTGATCAATGACAGATAAAGGAAACTTGTTTGGTACAGTGACATGGTTTAAAGCTCTATAGTCCACACAGAAACGAAAGCTATCATCCTTTTTCTTCACCAATAACATAGGACTGGAAAATGGACTGTTACTTGGTCTGATTATCCCCGCTTCCAACATCTCATTAACCATCCTTTCCATCACTAGCTTTGTTGAATGAGGATACCTATAAGGCCTAACCGAAGCTGTTGTCACTCCGAGAATGAGCTCAATAGAATGTTCAGTACCATGGAAAGGTGGTAATTGTGTTGGCAATGCAAAAACTGAGTCAAAGGCATCCAACAGTTTAGTCACTTCTAATGGAATCTCAGGTGTAGTTGATAAAGCTTCCCCACTTGCACATAACACCTCACCATCGTATGCATCAAGAGAGGAAAATGGAGTCGGTGGCTTGAATATATGAGGAGTACAATGTAAATTTAAATCCCGAACAAAGTAACTCGCTTCCCTTCGTAGACAAATGAAAGTTCATGCTGCTTCCAGTCAACTTCACATTTTCCCAGAGTTTCAAGCCACTAAATACCAAGAACAACATCAACTGATCCCAATTCCAAAGAGATGAAGTCTGCAGTAAAGTTAGTAGAGTTAAGTTGAAAGGACACGGATTGACACACTCCCAATCCTTTCACGATAACTCCATTGCCTAACAATACATCTAGACTGCTATCTGCATAAACTTTCAAGTGCAGTCTCTTCACAATTTTTGGGGAAATGAAATTGTGGGATGCTCCGCTATCGAGCAAGACTATCATCTCTAAATTACCCATCCTTCCTTGTAACTTTGTTGTCTTTGGTGAACTAATACCCAAAAACGCGTTGTATGACAATGTTTTAAGCTCAGGATTAGTCACCACCAAAGCTCTCGTACCATCATCTTCCTCATTTGTTAAAACTTCCAATTCAAATCCATTGATCACAGTCATAACTCGTAGCTCACGATTTGGACAAACAGCCGCATTAGTTCGTGACCACTTAGCGCCACACTTAAAACACACGCCTTCTCTTCTCATATTATCTAGTTCAGCGTCAGTGTACCTTTGACGTGGTCTCAATCCTCTCATATTACTCACTCCAGCCTCCTTATTTTGTTTCAACTCCACAGCCACAGTCTTGGGTTTATCATTAGTAGTAGCTGTAGTAGGTGTGAAAGGTTGAGATTGTTTTTAGGACAAGGTCGAGAACGGGTATGTGATGAGTTATTCACCTCAGTCACCACCTTACAGAATGTACTCGTTTCCATACGTAACACTGCAGCTATGTAATTAGACAATCCCTAAGGTTCCTTCAAACGAATCACCTCCTTCATCTCCGGAGATAAGCCATTGTAAAATATTTTCTCCAGATGGTGATCTTCTAAATCGGGCACTTGAGCTGAAAGACCTTCAAATTCAGATACATATGCTGCCACTGAACCAGTCTGACGAATCGCAAATTGTTTAGACTCTGGATCTTCATCAATTGACTCCACGAAACGAATCAACATCTGATGTTAAAAATCCTCCCAACTGCGAAAACCACCCCTCTTCGTAACCCACGCGAACCATTTCTTGATCGGACCTTTCAAACATAACGGCACCAGATCTAATTTCGCGTCCTCCACATATCTACCAATCATAAAGAAATGTTCGACATCCACAATCCATTCATAACCACCAGATCCATCAAACACATGCATCTCAACCTTCTTT